CATTTTGACACTGAGTATGTACTGTCTTTGCAGCAGCTGCTATAGGCAGGCAGTATTAACACAGCCTTAGGTTGTCAGCTGAGCAAAAAAAAAAACCAACAACACAACCACAAAAAAATAGGAATATGATTAAGTACTTGCACTTTCCCCCTGGTCACGATTCACTCTCTGAACAGGAAAACAGAGGACACGAAGAGAAGACAAAGCCCCCGCCCCAGATTGCTCAAAAAAAAAAAAAACCCAACAAGCCACTTCTCCCACAACCCTGACAAAATGAGGAGAGAGCCTTGCTAAAATAGAGAGCCTTGCTAAAATAGAGAGTCTTGCTAAAATAGAGAGCCTTGCTAAAATAAGAGCCCGATGCGTGTTTATATTTCTGCCGGAAAATGTTATTTATTCACCATCTCATTGGCAACTCTTCCCAACACTTAGGAAAAGAAATCCCTTCAGGAATTGTGTCATCCCCCAAATCAGACCCCAGATTATCTAGTGTCTCCCCAAGAAGCAAAAAGCCCCCAGCGATGCAGGAGGGAGGGGGATTTCTGCGTGACTCTCATCTGCCCCCTCTATTCTCTCCGGCTCTGCTTCCAGCTGCTGAGCAACAGCCACAGCAGCCTCTTAAAAAAAAAAATAATAATAAAAAAAAAAGGTAAAAATCCCCATTACGCCACACGCCGCCGTATCCGTGATGATGCAGGAAACCGGGCTGGGGTTTATCACTCCCTCAACTTACACCGTCCCGGGTCTTCCTCCTCCTCCTCCTCCTCCTCCATCCCCGGGATTAAACTTCTCCCCAGCACGAAGCAGTTTTAGCTGCAGGTTGAAAACACGGCGAAAAGGACGCGGCGCTTCCCTCTATTAGTCCCATCCCCACCTTCCAGATTAATTTTAACGACGGTGGGGAAAGGACCCCCCTCGTGGAGGTCAGCCCACAGATCCCACGGAGTTCATCCCTGCTCTGCTCAAGATACCAGGAGGCAGCTCCACGCCGACCTGCCTTAAAAATCCAGGGGGGAGCCGTCAGCTCCTCAGGATTCAGGATCAACAGGAGAGGAAGCTCCCTTGATTTCACCGGAGGCGAATCCGGTCTGCAGAGCTCCTTTTCGGCGGTCCCAGCCCCTTGCACAACCTCAGAAGCAAACATTTATATTTATTTATTTATTTATCTATTTCCCCCTCTGCATTAACAAAATCTGGGCAACTCGCTCCTTGCTGCTTCGCATCACCCCCCTCCAAAAAAATAAAATAAAATAAATCACTGCTCCATCTCTCCCGGCATCGCTTCGGTGTCCCCCTCCCCACCTTGCTCACTCAAGCACGTGGGTGGGTTTTTTTCTTGCAAATGCCTGTTTTCACCAGTTATTT